CCCCAAAACCCCAAAACCCCAAAACCCCAAATGGCTATAATAGTTTGAAATTTTGAATTTATTAAATATTAAACACTATAATAATCAGTTAAATGATAATAAGCATCTTATTCGCATACATTTTATCCTTATATGTTGCTATTGTGAACTCTAAAGGTATTAAAATTTCATTTTCAAGTGATTGGTGCTATAAAGATGACAGATACTATCAATTAGAGGAAATTTATAGCCAGAATTAACTTGAATATTGGAGGATTTTATAAAATGGAGACAATAGTACTCTAGTTTAAAATGATATAGTTAGAATAAGAGATTAAAATGTCGCAGTGAATTTAGAATATCAACATCAACTAGATATAACAGAGTCTGAATTATATAAAACAAAGAAATGCTAATACTGGATTCAAACTCTAGATTTATTCTAAAATTAAATAGCAGTTAGCTGTGAGTTAAATAGGATTGATTCAGTTTCTACTCTGAAATAGCCTCTCAGGATAAAGAATGTAAGAGAACTCATTAGTGAGACAGATAAAATTCTCTATAATAATTTGAGTAGCAGTGCAATACACATTTTATATGTAGACCCTCTAATATTACAAAACATCTAACCACTCTTATCACAATTTCAGACTAAAAACTACATTTTGAGATACAAATTTTCTCAATGTTTAGATCCTACTTACGCCAGGAAGGAGTATTTAACAGGCATGAATATTAATTTTAGACCTATTAACTGGGGAGGCAAGCTTAATGATCGAAGTGATTAGTATAAGTGGCATCTCACTAGACCTCAAGGTCTCTCATAATTTGCAGAACAAGTTTCTAATCCTTTGAAATATACTCATAATTACTCAGCTAGACCCAATGAAGTTTAGTGGAAGGATATAAATTTCTCAAATTAGTACTAATATGTTCTGATAAATTACAAACTTCTATTAATTACGCTCGAAAATTCAGAGCCTTGGTTACTTTACAAAGAATTTAATGAAATTGACAGGAGGAGTAGAATAATCTCTTAATACTTTGATCAGTAAAATTTGATTAAAATATGGGCCAACATCCATGACTTAAAGAATCCTAACTTATAAAACACATTCAAAATAAATTTTGAATAAAATTAAGAGGATTTCATCCTACTACTTTAAAAAGGTTAGAGATAGGAAGAAAGCACTCTCTCATTGGCTAAAATTACTTTATTCTTAGATGTGGGTCTTCATTTTAAATCTTAATTGTACCTGATCTAATCACTTACTTCTCTTTTATAGACTAGAAAACATTATTAAGTTAGAATTTCTCTCAATGATGTAACTCAATCTAATCCTCTAGCCTATAGTTAAATCTATAATTGCATTTAAAAATAGAATGGCTAAAGTGATCTAACTCTCAAAATTTTGCTCTCTTTCTTCAATGGAAACTTTAGGCCTTTTGATTTCTATTGCGATCTTGAGACTGAAAATACTAATCTCTAGAGTAATGCAGAAAATGCTTGCCAAAAATACAGGATTTGTGATCTCCCCTTGGTAATGATTAATGATACTATTTTTGATTCTTCGGATCTAAGAAATCATTTGAATATTTACAATCATGATAATAATCTCAATAATTTCTTCAATCACCTCATTATATCTAAAACTTAAGAAGATAACACAGTAATACCTACCTCTTCTGAGGAACTTGTGACTGATTCATTTAACTTAGACCTTAAAAACATTCAAAGCATTTAAGAAATTAAAAATCAACCTAGATTGAGATGTAGAGAATTTAGCCAATTATCAAACTAAAATTTGTCAATATTAGTTACCCTCATCAATCATGGCTAAAAGATTTTTGATTAAAATGACATTGAGATGCTAGAGAAAATTAAGTCTGAGTAGTCTTAATTTGATTATGTTATAATAGATAAGAATGTATAGAATGTAGAAATTGTAGGTTTTTTACAGTCAGGTTAAGATTTTTATGCATTTATCAATGGAATTTACATACCTTAGCATTAATTCAACTATCAATATCTAAATTACTTGATAGAGTATGAGAACTTTAAATTAGATTCGATTTTAAATTAAGTACAAACTTTAGACAGTCACTAAATTGGCACTCTAAAATTAATCACAGAGATAAATTTTAACAGATTCCTTGATAATGATATTGATTCAAACAAAAGATCTGAAATTTATATGGAGTTTGAAAATCTAAGATAATAGAAATCTTTACAACTTCATTCTTCACCAGGTCTTGATCCCTAAACAAAGGAGCTAAGAATTTTAGCTAAACTTAATTTCTTATCGAGAGAATCAGTCAGCTTTGTTACTAACTTAGCCTAACAAAACTATGCCTTTTCAAGTCTAGATATATATCCAAATTTTAACTTATTGAGGGAAGATTTTATAAGATTTTTACCATATCACAATTTCAGATAATTTAGTGGACTTGATCCTAAAAATAATCAACTTATACACATTTAAGATTTTATCATGGATAGGAGATTTAGATATGCTTATGTAGAATTACTACCACCTCATAATTATAACTTTGTTATTGAAAAGCTGTCTAGAATGAATAGCTACTTCAAAGAAGATCAAGAAACACCAGTAATTGGATATAACCTTACTTTAGAAATTGAAATGTAGTTTTTGTATAAATTGAAGGAGGAGGAGTTCTTAGATATTGATTTCAAATTAGTCTAATTTTAAAATATGTATAAATTGAGGGAGAAAAATTAAGTGAGTGCAGTTGTCAGTTAGGATTTTAAAATGGGCACTGAATATTTCACAAGCATTGCTGGCTTGACAAAAGTTAATAGAGTATCAAAAATGCTTGATCAGTTTTACTACTTAAGGGGAAGTGGCCCTGGAAGATACTATATTTAGAGAGAAAATACATCAGAAATAATCATTGTAGATTTTAACGAATTTGGAAATTTTTAGATTAAAGATCTTACTTTCCTAAATTAAAAACTAGTTCCTTTACAAAATAATAATAATACACTGATGGCATTAAATTCTTTAAAAAATGATAAAGAATACGTAAGCATATATTATCAAGTTGCTGGAAGTGAATATGAGACTCTATTATTGCATTAAATCTACTAGATAGTAGCTGAAAATATGCATTAGCTAAACTATAAATTCTATTTTGTTGAAAATACTTTTATCAGCCCAGACTTTAAGAAGCATATCAAAGCGCTTCAATAAAATTTTAACTTTGAAATAGAATATTTCAACTTTGCTTGGCCTTACTAAATTATGAGAAAGCCGAAAGCCCCCCAAACCAATAAAGTGTTTTATAGAATTCTTTTCCTCGATTAGATGATTGAAGGTTAGACAGGAAAGCAAGCTAAAGTATTATATAAGGATGCAGATTAATGCTAAAATCCTGAAACAGATTTAAGTGAATTATTTAGAGAAAATCTTGGGAATCATTCTTATGCTTTGGCACCATATGGCTATGACTTCATGACTTTGTAAGAGTAAATGGAGCTTTCAGAATATCTAGGGATTCCTCATAATAAAACTGATTGGTAAAAAGCTAGAAGAATGTAGTACTTCTATTGCGGAGGTCTATTCATAGCTGATATAGATAGATTTGTTGAGAGCGGAGATTTAGATAAAATGAGAAGATATTTCAACTAGATAAGGGTGAATAAGGAAGTAAACTACGAGGTTAATGATTAACAGATAATGAATGATGTTAAGAAATAGGTGCCCATCAAGTTGATTTCATGGAAATGGGTTTGGACTAATATTTTGTACAAAGACTATGGAAATAAAATGAGGGAGGCAGCAAAGGTTATTGATTTCCACGGATCAGTTTTTTCAGGAAAGTAATCTACAAAATTAGATAAGGCTTAGTCTTTATGCCAAAATTTTGACAGCAACTTCTAGTAATTAAAATAGCTCATAAAATAGTACGAATAGTAACAGCTTAAAAGAGAGAATGATTGAAAATTATAATTGAATTGTAATTTTGATTTCATAATTTTTACAAAAAAGCCATGGGGTTTTGGGGTTTTGGGG